TCTACTGTATGGGGCGGAGACGTAGAGAACAACGAAAGCCATCATCCAGAAGATACAAGTGTTTGTTAACAGTTGTCTACTCAAAATACTTCGAATCCGTTGGCCAGACACTAGCAGAAGCATTCTACTGTGGGAGAGAACAAACCAGATTCAATCCAGTGGAGGAAGAAATCAGGAAGAAGTGTTGGAAGTGGATAGGAAACACATTGAAGAAATCACCCAACTGCGTCACAAGACAAGCCCTCACATGGAATCCTCAATGTCAAAAGAAGAAGATGAAGATCAAAGAACACATTATGCCGAGAAATGGAGACAGACATCAGATGAATGAACAGGAATTGGATAGAACTAGAAACGAAGAGGTAGGACAGAGTGGGTTGTAGAATGCTGGTCAGCAGCCAATGCTCCATTGGGAGTAACAGGCGTGAGTAAGTAAGTAAGTTTGTATAAAACGTTTTCTTCGAATATAATAATGAATGTTTTCATCACATGACAAAAGAGATCACTATAGCAACTAAATTATCATAGTACCTGACTTATAGGTTGTGTTAACACTTAATTTTTTTTGAAAAAAAAATTGAAATAAAGGTGTTTAAGTTATTAGGAGAGCACGTCTGTACGATATTAATCAGTCACTAGATAACAACATAATTGGCACACGTTCATTTTTAGTACCTAGTTAATAGTTAGCTAATTATTGTGAATTAGAATGATACTATAATTAACCTTATTTGTTTTTTAATTGATTACAGTTAGTAGAACACAATCTCTTTTTAAACTTAGACACGTATTGAATAGTAATAGATAATCTCTTATGATAATCATTTTTAGGTACCTCTCTCTCTTTCTCTATCCAAAATTTTATTGATTTCTAACCTTGGATACCACATCTTATACTACATGTTATGTAATATGAATTAGTTGATTCAACCAGTTGATCAATAATAGAAAGGTTTTCTTATTTCAGATTTCGATTGACTCTAATTCAAAGCCTGAATAGGAAGATTCAAACAAACAATATTAAGTGAATTTCAACTTCACCCCATTGCATAAGCATGTGGCTATCAGGACTCAGTGACTGAGTGGGTAACGCGATGGTGTTTGAAGCGAAAGATACTGAGTTCGAGTCCCAGAGTGAACATCAACTCTGAGATGCAGGTACATCCAACTGACGAGTCCCAAATAGGATGAAACGCTCGTCAAACTGGATTCCACTGCTATCCACTATCCATTCTCTTACAATGCTTGTGAATTTAGGTTAAATTGAGGCAATATGTACAGTATGCACATATGCCAATTAAAGACTGACCAGTTACAGTCCTAAACATCAATGGGAAGATTCAAACAAACAATATTATGTGAATTTCAACTTCACCCCATTGCACAAGCAAGTAGCTATCAGGACTCAGTGACTGAGTGGGTAACGCGATGGTGTTTGAAGCAAAAGGGCACTGAGTTCGAGTCCAAAAGTGTACATCAACTCTGAGATGCAGGTACATTCAACTGACGATTCCCGAATAGGACGAAATACTGGATTCCACTGCTATTCACTTTCCATCTTTGCTTACAATTTATTCTTTTGTTAAGCTAAACAATTTAGTTCATTCAATCATTAATGCATTAAAACATATTGAATTTGAAATTTATATCAAAAAAGTGTTAGACATAATAAGAGTTGATGGTCAAGTATGTTTTATTCTAGAGGACATAATGATAAAAGTAAAGTACTGCTCCATTGTAAGATTGTGATTGAAAGTAATTGACAGAAAACTTCACAGTTTTATGGTTACGTAACATATGTCAACAAGGTGTTAGCGTTTTATGATGAAGTTCCTAACCCCATGCTCAGCCATCCTCTCTTATCGGGTTGGGAACTATCAGCAACCCTGAATGGGATTCACATGAAGTCGTCAAGGTGGCGTACCTATAATTCTTATGGAACTGATGCTCCCCGGTTGTTTCTATCTCTTGTCATTCAGCTTCAAAACCTTATTCATTCAGACCATGACTGACCACTAGATAGTTTTGATGAATCTTATACTAAGATAACAAAATTTCATAATACTCATTGATATGCAATACTTGTCTACAAAAATTATTGATAAGTCATATAGAATATTTAGAAATTTAAGTAATCTTTTGCTATAAATACACAAGGCGAATTCTTCTGCTTAGCGTGATTGAGGAAATCACCCAACTGTGTCCGTCACAAGACAAGCCCTCACATGAAATCATCATGGTCAAAGGAGAGGAGGAAGACCAAAAAACACATTACGTCGAGAAATGGAGACAGACATGAGAAGAATGAATTAAAATTAGATAGAACTAGAAAGGAGGGTCTAGGATAAGGTGGTTTAAAGAATAGTGGTCGGCGGCCTATGCACCATTGGGAGTAACAGGCGCAAGTAAGTAAGTACACCATTCAAATTCAAGGATAAACATTAACACTAAAGTTTTACATATAATAAAATGTATATCATAAATACCACTTCTATCAATCCTATAAATCTTTACAAAACTTATATACCAATAAATAATAATCAATATACAGTTGTAAAGATTATAAATCATGAATATACATAACTGAAGAGTCTCATCCTAAGACGAAACAGCCATCCAATACTTCCAGATTTTCAATGATAATCTAACATCGATCAATTTATGATATCAATCAATCAATATCTATATTCAGAAGGGGTTTTATGGATGCGCACAGTTAAGGAGTCCCATAATAGGACGAAACGGCCGTCAAACAGTGCTTCCAAGTTTTCCTTGGTAGTCTAGCTTCAACTGACTCATGCTTTCAACTATATATATATATATATATATATATATATATATATATATATATATATATAAAGAGGAAGGCCAAAGAACACACTACGCCGGGAAATAGAAGCCGATATGAAAAGGCTGAATAGTAACTGGAAAGAACTGGAAAGGAAGGCTCAGGACACAGTTGGATGGAGAATGCTGGTGAGCGGCCTATGCTCCTCCACATGGGGTAACAGGCGTAAGTAAGTAAGTAAGTAATATAAATAATAAACAATTAATCAGAAGGGGTTTTGTGGAGATTTAGTATTTTCATCGTTTAAAGCGTGAGTCAATTGATGCTAGACCACCATGGAAAACCTGGAAGCACTAGACGGCAGTTTCGTCCTGAGGAGTACCACAACAAAACGAAACGATCGTTCAGTGCTTCAAGATTTTCCTTGATGGTCTAGCTTCAATGGACTTATGCTTTCAACTATATACAATTAAACACTCATTATAGCAATCAACTATATCAAAAGTACAATATATTGATCTTACCAAATATACCTTTACGTAATTTACGTTCTCTTTTTTTATAAAATATTCTTTGATTATATAAATCTTTACTAATATCATTACCAATAAATGGTTTAAAATTTTTTGGTATTGTATGATATATTACATCATGTTTATGATTTTGATTTAATTCCTCATGGATCAATGATGATGATGATGATGATACTGATGATAATGGTAATAATAATGATGATGGATCATTGAAACCATTCCGTGTTAATGAAGTAAATATATAACCTAAACTCATTGATTCTGGGGGGGGGAACAGATTTTTTTTCTCAGTTTTTTCTCTTGGTTTCTCTATCAATCTCTTGTTAAGATCGTAGTAATAGTAAATCCTTTAGGTAAATTGATGATGGTTACCACATAGAGACAAGTGAAATTCCATATCATAATAATAATAAGAAGAAGGAGTATCTCTTAGATATAAATTATTATTATTGATGATTATTTACTGATCAATGAAATGATTGGAGAAAATTGATTGGAAAAAAAACTTTTTTAAATTCACTTAGTAACTAATTAATTAAACAACAACAAACAAAAAAGAGTATTTCGTTGATTTGACCTTGATAATATGAACAAGAAATTTGATTGGATAAAATAATTCACCTAGACACATATTGAATATCATATGAATATATAAATATAAAGTGTATAGTTGTTTGTATATGTTACTATATTTAAATTAAAATAGTGTTATGATGAGAACAATCACCACCTCCACAATAACAATCACAGCAACAATAAAAACAACATAGAAAAAAGTTGACTAAAGAAAAAGAAACGTGTTTATTATTATTTTTTTGATAAAGAAAAATTATTAAAACAAACCTATCACGTAAGAAAAAAACTATGATCGTCTAGAGTAAATTGAATATACTATACAAATGGATTAGATACATTCTTATGGTAGTTCAGATAAGATGATTTTGATGTTTTTAAGGTTGTTAAAACTCTACCTGTAGCTCTTCTAGAGTTACTGCTGGTCCTAAGCTCAGGTAAAGGAGGAGGGTTGGGCATGGGGTCAGTGACTCCATCCCATAGTAAAACTAACTAGCTGAAAAAACGCTAACCAGAAAAAATAAAGTAAGTAAGTAAGCAAGGTTATATTGAACAAAACGGCCTTCCAGTACTTCCAGGTTTTCCATGGTGGTCTAACTTCAAATGACTCATGATTTCAACTATGAAAATACTGAATTCTCCACAAAACCCCTTCTGATTATTGTCTGTTTATTCTGTATTGATATTTACTACTCCATATTGATTTCCGTTTTCTTTTAGTCAATATTATTCTTAGCAAGATTTAATACAAATAAAAATTAAAAATAAGATGGTGGTTGGAGGTGGCAACAGGAAATCCTGGACCCGGGTTTCGTGCTATTTGGCAGTCGTCAGCAAGGTGTACCTGTAATCTTGAGGGAACTGGTGCTCCCTGACGGATTCAATCCCGTGTCATTCAGCTTCACAATCAGAGATTTTACCATTGAGCTATTCGCGGCTCGACCGACCTCCTGTAGGACTGAAATGTAATCACAATTGATGCCATTTGATTAGCACTAAGAAGGACTTGACACGCATGACATTGATCACCGCCCAGTGATCAATCAATTGTGAGAGAATAAAAATCAATAATCAATAACCAATAAATTATTATTACAAAAACTTACTTTTAATCAATAATGTTTTTGATGATAATTGTAATGTAGGAGTTTCCCACGGTATACATTCTTTACTCATCAAATCAATACATTGTATTGGTATAGTTAAATCAGATAAATGTGATCGTATAACATCTCTTTAAAAAGGAAAAGTATTAAAAGTATATATCAGATGAGAAAGTAGACATACTGTAGTAAATTAATATTCAGTAACTGTTGTTACTAGGTGGCCTATGCTTTTCCACGATGGGTTTAAGGTTTATGTAGGTGGGTAGGTAAGTAAGTAAGTAACTACTGTTACTGATCGTCATTTTTCAGATGAACATTTTTTAAAATATTACTTACTTATTTACTTACTAACTCCGACTGTAGCTCCTCCGGGGGCTACTGCCGGTCCCAAGCCTGGGTAAAGGAGTAGGGTTGGGCATGGGATTGGCGACCCCATCTTGTGAAAAACCAATTCGCTAAAAGAACGCTAACCATTTTTTTAAATATATTTAACTTTCAATCAATTGATCTCGTTGTTTGAACTTGCCTCTACCTATTTCAGCTGTTATACAAAATTTATTGATCATACATAATGTATAAATGTTATCAGAAAAGGGGGTTTTGTGGAGATTTTAGGAATTTTATATAGTTGAAATCATCAGTCAATTGAAGCTAGACTATCATGGGGGCACCAGATGTATATGCGCCGCACAAATCATTTGATTTGTGTGAGGACTGTAATACTGTGTGGAGGATTAATTCCTCTATATCTGACTTCAAAAACTAAATAATATCCCACTAACTGAATATTTACTGCAGGCTAAATCCCGTAGTAGAATTACGGGTTTAGTCGAGATTATTCAAAAGCCTGAACACCAGTTATAGAGATAGTTTATTGTTGAAGCTTGGTAAAAATTCGCAAGCGTAAAGATAACAAGCACACTGGGAAAGCAAGTGAGTGTATGTGTGTGGGTGTGAGTGTTAAAATTCCATATATATTTTTGAGTGTTAATGAATTGTGGATAAATTATTGATTGTCTTTGTTTACAACCAATGAGAGAACAGAATAAGGATTGATGTGCAGACATATGCGCTCAATCAGACTCACACATAAATTTACAAAGTGGATTAAATGTTAAGATTACAAAGAGCACACAAAAAATACAGTAGTTGAATGGGTTTGCTACAACTGCCCAGGTGCCCAAACCTAAGCAGGTGGTTTTCTTAGGGGGCCACACCAGGAGCCTTTGACCTAAAGATTTAACCCACAAGGCAGTGGAGTATCTTGGATCACCATGGACGAAACAACTGTTCAGTGTTTCCAGGTTTTCCATGGTGGTCTAACTTCAATTGACTCATGATCTCAACTGTATAAATGTTAGGTGAATTAGATTTGTTTTTCTAGGATTATATGATATATACAAATAAATTTCATATTAATCCATGAATGAATGTTTGATTAATGTTCAGGAAGAATATTCATGAAAGTTTGATTCATTAGTCAATCTAAAGTAAATCATGAATCAATCGAAGTTAGATATTAACACCGTTGGATACCAACTCAATGGTCTAGAGGTTAGGCGTTTGTGTTCGAGACCAAAGGTCCTCATTTTGAGTCCTATATACGGGTTTGTGGATGTACACTGCTAAAGGGTTCCTTACTAGTAGAAAACGGTCATCCAAAGGTTTCAGGTTTTCAATAATGGTCTAGCGTAGATTGACAAGTCAATTCAACTGTTAGTAGATTACAATCTTTACATTGATAACTAAATTGATTGATCTATTTACATTCATCGTTTATGATAGTCTAACATTTCAACTTTGAATTACCTAACTATATGAAAGACAAATATTTATTAATTTTACATAGTTGAGATCATGAGTCAATTAAAGCTAGACCACCATGAAAAACCTAGAAGCACTGGACGTCCCTTTCGTCCTATTGTAGGACTCCTCAGCAGTGCGCATCCACTCCAGAGCACTTAACCGATAGACCATTAAGCCGGCCGGCATCCAACGGTGTTAATGTATAACTTCAACCTCCTTTTTGATAATGATCATATGCTCACTAGTAACTTACTTACTTACTTACTTTCGCCTGTTACTCCCAATGGAGCATAGGCCGCCGACCAGCTTTCTCCAACCCACTCTGTCCTGGGCCTTCTTTTCTAGTTCTTTCCAGTTCTTGTTCATTCTTCTCATGTCTGTCTCTATTTCTCGGCGTAATGTGTTCTTTGGTCTTCCTCTTCTCCTTCGACCTTCAGGATTCCATGTGAGGGCTTGTCTTGTGACGCAATTGGGTGATTTCCTCAAAGTGTGCCCAATCCACTTCCAGCGCTTCTTCCTGATTTCTTCCTCCACTGGAATCTGGTTTGTTCTCTCCCACAGTAACTTGTTGCTGATAGTGTCTGGCCATCGGATCCGAAGTATCTTGCGTAGACAGCTGTTAATAAACACTTGTATCTTCTGGATAATGGCTTTCGTAGTTCTCCACGTCTCTGCCCCATACAGAAGAACTGTCTTGACATTTGTATTGAAAATTCTAACCTTGGTGTTGGTTGACAATTGTTTTGAGCTCCAGATGTTTTTCAGCTGTAGGTATGCTGCTCTTGCTTTGCCGATCCTCGCCCTCACATCTGCATCTGATCCACCGTGTTCATCAATGATGCTGCCCAGATATGTAAAGATTTCCACATCCTCCAAAGCTTCTCCGTCAAGTGTAATTGGATTGGTGCATATTGTATTGTATCGGAGAGTCTTGCTTTTCCCTTTGTTTATATTGAGACCTACTGCTGCTGAGGCTGCTGCTACACTGGTCGTTTTCTCCTGCATTTGTTGTTGCGTTTGTGATAGAAGAGCCAGATCATCCGCGAAGTCTAAATCGTCAAGCTGCATCCTGCCTGTCCACTGTATCCCGTGCATTCCTCCAGATGTTGACGTCTTCATAATCCAGTCGATCACCAGGAGAAAGAGAAAGGGTGAGAGTAGGCAACCTTGCCTAACACCGGTCTTTACCTCGAACGAGTCGGTGAGTTGTCCTCCGTGGACGATTTGGCAGTTTAGTCCATCATAGGAGTTCCGTATGATATTTACTATCTTCTCAGGCACACCGTAGTGTCGAAGAAGCTTCCACAGTGTCGTCCTGTCCACGCTATCAAATGCCTTCTCGTAGTCGATGAAGTTGATGTACAGTGATGAATTCCATTCGATTGATTGTTCCACAATGATACGTAGAGTTGCGATTTGATCTGTGCACGATCTATCCTTACGAAATCCAGCTTGTTGATCTCGAAGTTGAGCGTCCACGGAATCCTTCATCCTGTTTAACAATACTCTGTTGAAGACTTTTCCTGGTATTGAGAGGAGAGTGATGCCTCTGTAGTTGTCGCACTTGCTCAGATCGCCTTTCTTTGGTATTTTGATCAGAAGTCCTTTTTTCCAGTCTGTTGGTACATGTTCTTCGTCCCAATCACTAGTAACAGACTTCATGAAATATTTTCTGGATTTCTATTGAGAAGCAGTAACCAGTGGAGTTCAACCAAGTATGTTGTGAGATATCAACTCATTGACGATATTAGTGAATGTTTGCAAGACTGATAGGTCCTGGGTTTAAATCTCGTGTGATGGGATCGTGAATACGCACTGCTGAGGAGTTCCATAATAGAACGAAATGATCGTCCAGTGTTTCGAGGTTTTTCATAGTGGTCTAACTTCAATTAATTCTTGATCTCAATTATATAAAATCACTAAAACCTTCAAAAAACTCCTTCTGACGAAAATTTAGTTCTCTTAATGAATTCCAAAACTGACTTTTAAATGAAAAAAAAAATGTTACTCACCCTAATTTTTCTGAAGGTAATGGATTCAATTTTAGTTCATCACCATTCCAAAAACGTATTGTCAACATTTTTGTAGAAAATGATACATTCTCAATATTAGTAAACTATTTGATCATGCAATCAGGCATTTTAGATTTGAAAAAAGAAAAGAAACAATTTTTTAGATGAAAAAAGTCATATAAATGGAAGTCATATATTAAACATAAAAATAGTCATCTACACTACAATAACTCGTATTCAATCATGACACTGAAGTTATGTAACATTGATGTATAGTGTAAGGAATGCTACATTCTAAATTTGAAAATGTATACAGTATAACTGGATAGGATTGACTAGCTGGATTATATATGCAATGTTGAAATCATACCTGGTTTTATTTGAGAGTTAGTTTACTTACTTACTTACTTACTTACTTACTTACATACTTACACCTATTACTCCCAAAGGAGCATCGCCCGCCGAACACCATTCTATAACCCACTCTTTCCTACCCATTCCTTTCTAGTTCTATCCAATATTTGTTCATTCATTTAATGTCTGTCTCCATTTCTCGGCATAATGTGTTCTTTGATCTTCATCTTCTTCTTTTGGCATTGAGGATTCCATGTGAGGGCTTGTCTTGTGACGCAGTTGGGTGATTTCCTCAATGTGTGTCCTATCCACTTCCAACACTTCTTCCTGATTTCTTCCTTCACTGGATTGAATCTGGTTTGTTCTCTTCCACAGTAGAATGTTTCTGATAGTGTCTGGCCAACGGATTCGAAGTATTTTGAGTAGACAACTGTTAACAAACACCTGTATCTTGTGAATGATGGCCTTCGTTGTTCTCCACGTCTCCGCCCCATACAGTAGAACTGTCTTGACAGTTGTATTGAAAATTCTGATCTTCTTGTTGATTAACAAATGTTTTGAGTTGCATCTGTTGTTCAATTGTAAGTATGCTGTTCTTGCTTTGCCGATTCGCGCCCTCACATCTGCATCTGATCCACCGTGTTTATCAATGATGCTGCCCAGATATGTAAAAGTTTATACATCCTCCAAAGCTTCTCCATCAAGTGTGATTCGATTGGTGTATGCTGCATTGTATCGAAGAGTTTTGAGTTTTCCTTTGTTTATATTGAGACCTACTGCTACACTGATCATCTTCTCGTGCATTTGTCGTTTCTTGTGTGATAGAAGAGCCAGATCATCCGCGAAGTCTAAGTCGTTAGGCTGCATCCTAACTGTCGATTGTATCCCGTGCTTTCCTCCAGATTTTGACGTCTTCATGATCCAGTCGATCACCAGGAGAAAGAGAAAGGATGAGAGTAAGCAACCTCATGTTGATGAATTAGTTGATTATATTTTGCAATTCTATTCAATTCATAATTCGAGAACTGATAGTTTGACTGAGTGTGAGTCTTAATAAGTAATTTCAACAAAACAAATGTAAATATAATTTACACGATTGAATGACATAGAGACACAGGTGTGACAGTTCTCTGACACTAGCTTTCCTACTCTAGTATAGGTGTGACTACAGATGACTTGTGTTGTCTTATCTCTTCTTATTCTGGTACTAGAACGCTTATCACTCCTTTTGTAGCTTCTTAATCCAGCCCTAGTCTACTTCCATTAGTCAACTCAAACAATGAAGGAAAGGCGTAAAAAGTGAGCAAGAGCTTTACTTCAAGGTTATTTTAGTCAGTTACAAAATATCAGAATATGTGTTTGTCAATATTATAACGATCCGTTTTACTTTTTACACATGAATGAGACATTAATTTACCTTAGATGAATATCTACACTAGATTCTCCCAAAGTGTCTACTCTACAGGACTTCAACACAACTCAGATCAAGAACACATGATTAGCCCGATGATTAGAACGCAATTTATTTCCACACTAAAAGTCAAGACAATCCAACAACAATAAACAATCAGTCAATAAATAATAAATAGTAAATGTAGAGGTACTACATAACTCATGTGACACCTATCAGACTATCTACATATCTGACTAAGCAGACAACCAATCATTATCATTCTTACCCACACATCAGTGGATATTATAGTAATTTCAACAGTTGAATTCATGAGTCAATCTAATCAAGACCACCACGGAAAACCTATAAGCAATGGATGGCCGAGGGCATTTTGTTCGACTCATAGATGCACACTACTTAGAAGTCCCATTCTAGAATGAAACGACCGTCTGGTACTTCCAAGTTTTTAATAGTGATCTAGCTTTAGTCCATACATGTATTCAACTATTAAAAATTATGGAATAAACCAAAGAAATACAACTCACAATTTAAATTATACATAGTAATATTCAATATAAACACGAATTAATAACTATAGCAACCATAAAATAATTTTTTTTTAAAGTTTTATCATAAATCCCACACAACTTTATTTAATAAAAACAAACTTATAATGATCTAATATTAGATTGAATATATAATCCGTTATTTATAAGTTAAAATAGGATTTCATTCGAATCTGACGAGGCGAGGTCGGGGATGCGCACTGTTGAGAAGTCCTTGGTGGTCTAGCTTTAATTGAATCACACTTTCAACTATGAAAATATTAAATCTTCACAAAAAACCCTTCTGATAATAATAATCGTATGCTCACTGATAACTGACTCCTAGAGGTAAATCCAGGAGTTCCAGTGAAAAGCAGTGACCAGTGGAGTTCAAACCACGTCTGTTGTGAGATATTAAATCAATGAAGACAATTGGTGAAAGGTTGCTCAATTTCGTGGATTGGTTGGAGTTAGACATAAACACTATCGGATGCTAGTTCAGCGGTCTATTGGTTAAGTGCTCTGACGCGAGACTGATAGGCCCTGGGTTCGAATCTCGTGAGGTGGGATCGTAGATGAGCACTGTAAAACGAGTCTCATAATAGGACGAAACGGCCGTCCAGTGCTTCCAGGTTTTCCATGGTGGTTTAGTTTCAATTGACTAATGATTTCAACTTTGAAAAATATTGAAATCTCCACAAAACCCCTTCTGATTATATTCTATTATGATTAGAATATTTCAAAAAACGATTGAGTTACCTTCAATCAATCAGTCTCTTAGTAATTAATTACCTTCCAACAATATAAGAATATACTTACAATCATATATATATGACCTAAATTAAATAATATAAACATATATAATTTTTAATATTTTTTTATAATTTTCTTATAGTTACTAATTATTGATTAAATAAAATTCTATATATTCTTCAATGTATGTGCAATTAGAAAGCAAAGATGAATAGTGGCTAGCAGTGGAATCCAGAACGCACGTTTCATCCTATTTCGGACTGGTCAGCTGGATATACCTGCATTTAAGAGTTGATGTTCACTCTGGGACTCGATCACAGTAGCGTTCGCATTAAACGTCATCGCATTATCCACTTAGCTATTGAGTCCTGATAGCCACTTGTTTGTGCAATGGGGTGAAGTTGTAATTCAGTTGGTATTGTTTGTTTGAATCTTCCCATTGATGTTTTTACGACTGCAATTGATCAGTCTCTTATTGGCTATATGTGCATACTGTGCGGAATGCCTCGATATACTCTTTATTCACAAGCATTGTAAGGAAATATGGATAATGGCTAGCGGTGGAATCCAGGACGTGTACTTCATCCTATTTGGAACTCGTCAGTTGAATGTACCTGTATCTCAGAGTTGATGTTCACTCTGGAATTTGAACCTAGTATAGTTCGTTTCAAACACCATCGCGTTATCCATTTAGCTACTGAATCCTGATATACACAGTATGCACATATGGTCAATAAGAGACTGATCAATTACAGTCCTAAACATCAACAGGAAGATTCAAAAAAACAATACCAAATGAATTTTATTCTTTGATATAATTTAAATTTTTTTTTGTTAGAAGGGGTTTTGTGGAGATTTCACTATTTTCAACGTTCAATTGAAGCTAGACCACCAGGGAAAACCTGGAATCACTGAACAGCTGTTTCGTCCTACTGTGGGACTTCTCAGCAGTGTGCATTCACGATCCTGTCTCAAGTGATTCGAATCCAGAACCTACCAGTCTCGCGCCGATACACTTAACTGATGGTGATTTAGTTTCAATCAACTCATGATTTCAATTATGAAACTACTGATATCTTCACAAAACCCCCCCTTCTGATTTTTTTTTATATTTAAAAAAAAAATAAAATCAATAAAATATTTAAATTTGAAATCGATTTAAATTTTTTTTTTAAAAATAAATCATTTAATTATAGTATGTAATTTTAATATTAATAATTTAATAAATCGATAATCATAGTAATAATAAGGGAGGATATTATTGTTAAGTCGGCTTACAGTAAACTCTGTCAGAGCCTCCAGAGGCTCATAAAGAGCCCCAACCAATAAGCGATTAATTGGAAGTTATGCTACTAAAATAACGAGATCCTGATTGGCTGTTTAACACACTGCTACTATGGAAACTCAAGGTCTCTTAATTACTATAAAACCCCTGTACTATCTGTACATGAATGAATCCTGTAGTAAAGCGCTTCCCTCATACTTTGTGCCTTTTCTCTGGTCTTCAAGTTGCTATATAATTCTAGCTCGGGGATACGAGACTAGCTTAGGGAAGCAAATATAGCGTTCACAATCGGCCAGATGTAACAGTGGCGACGGGGAAAAACTACAATCTACAAGACATAACAATTATAATTTGTTTTATTCAATCAATTAAAGAAATAAAAAAAATTAAAATAAAGAACAACTTTTTTTGTTTTTTTTCAAGGTCATATTGATTACATAATTAATTTATAGAAAGAGTAAAATATGATTTGATTAAAAGATTGATTATTTATTTACTTGTATATTTTATAAGATAGTAACTAAGCTTTATTAATCAATTATTTTGATAATGATTATTATATAAATCTTAATAATGTTTGAAATAAGAAGTCCTACTGACTGCCTTCTTGTGGTTAGGGTGTTTTTTTTACGAAATTGAGAGGATGGAAAGCGAATATGTGATACTTTCACCAGGTTGTTGGACATGAAGAGTCCACCTAAGGAAGTTGGAAAACCCCGATTCAAACCAATGATGCATATGGGCTTCAGTATCCTGACGGAACAAATTAGGTAT